TGGCCTTACTTATCACATTGTTACATTGACAACTCATGTTAATTCTGGAGTCAACTATGACTCCAGGATCCCTTTCTGCTGCTGTGCTGCTTAGAAAGTCACTTCTCAGTCTGTAGGTGTGTTAGTGATTCTTTCTCCCTTGATTCAGCACTTTACACTTATCTTTGTTAAACTGCATCCTATTCTGATCTGCCCACTTTCCCAATCTGTCCAAATCCTCCTGAATCCACTCCCTGCCCTCCAGTGTGTTTACTTTGCCTCATAATTTGGTGTTGTCCGCAAATTTTGACAGAGTGCTTTCCATGCCCTCATCCAAATCACTGATGAAGATATTGAACAGCACTGGTCCAAGGACTGAACGTTGGGGAACTCCACTGCCCACATTTTTCCAGGTTGAAAACGACCCATCCACCACCACCCTCTGGGTGCATTTCATAAGCCAATTTTCTACTCACCTTACCGTGTAATAATCTACATTACAGCTGCTTAATTTATTTGTAAGAATGGGATGTGACACTGTATCAAAGGCCTTTTTAAAATCCAAGCAGATGACATCTACGTCAACTCCTGCATCTAAGCAATTTGTGACCTGGTTGTAAAAAGAAACAAGGTTAGTCAGGTAGGATCTACCTGATGTGAAGCCATGCTGGTTGCCCTTCTGCATTATTTTTCCTACTGGACTCCCACCAGTGTGATTGTTAATAATTTTTTCAAAGGTTTTCCCAAGGATAAAGGAGGCTAACAAGCCTATAGTTGCCTGGAGCATCCTTTCTCCCCTTCTTGAAAATAGGGACCACATTGGTCCTTTTCCAGTCCTCTGGGACCTGTCCTGAGCACCATGAGTGCTCAAACAACTGTGCCAGTGGTTCTGCTATGCCACTGGCCAATTCCTTCAGTACCTTTGGATGAAGATCATCAGGGCCAGCTGACTTAAACACATCCAGCCTATCCAAATGCCCCTTCACTAGGCCAGTGCTAACTGTTGGTAGGTTGGAGTCAGCTCTTGTGCCTGTCTTTGGCCCCTTTGGGAGATATGTCTTAATCCGTGCTCAGGAATACATGCGTCTCCTCCTCTGTTGCTGGGGCTCCACATCTGTTTTCTAGGCAAACCGCTGCAGGTGGAGGCAAAGACTTCTGCTTATTGCCAAAGGCCACAGGCTTTCAACTTTCACCTTCCTGGAAGTCCATGTCCTCTTGCTTCTCTGTGTCTGGCAACCCTTTCTTCACAGTCCTAGAGGTCTCTTCCAGCATTGAATCAATGAACTCCTCATAACAGAGGTGCTTCAGAGCCTCACTACCTCCTCCTTTAGAGAAGAGGAAAAGTCTCATTCATTCAAGTTCCAAATTTCAACCCCAAATCTCTTGTGGTGGGAGAAATATGAAGAACACAAAGACTATAAAATGGAGTTTGGGAATTCATTACTTTCATTTAGACTTATTTTACTTTATTGCATCCTTACATAGATCTTTGTTTATTTTTTATAATAAATTTCAATGAGTTTAACTTCTTGTTCAGTTGGAACATGTTTAAAAATAAAATGATTGTTGACACAGAGTTCTGTAATTTTATATAGAAAGATATAGGCAGGCTGCTGCTCATAAAACTTGCAATTTAGTCTAAAGCAAGAATAGTAAAAATATGGCCCGCAGGCTGGAATTGGCACACAGAGCTGAAGCATCCAGCCTGCAGTGCTGCCTGCACAGGCTGCACACAGTGTGGGGCCAATCTGGTGTGAGTGCTGCATGCAGCATGTGCCCTGCACCCCCTGGAACTGATACACACAGTGCGTGGGGCCAGTCTGGGGCACATACTGCACTTGCTGCCTGTTCCAGACCAGCCTGCAAACTGGTGTTGGATTCACTGTGCAGGACTGGTCAGGTGCAGGTGTCACAGGCGGTGTGCTCCAGACTGGAGCCATGCTCTGAGTGTTGCGTATGCCCCAGACCAGCCCCGTGTGCTGCATGCTGCGTGCAGTGCCAGGGTGGAGAGCATGTGCCACATGCACGTAGGACTGGAGCTGGTGCACAAGCAGCACATGCAGCCAGTCCAGGGCAGGTGCTGCAAAGTGCCGCAGCATGACAGTGCTGTGGGACTGGATCTGGTATGTGGGAGCTGTCTCTGAATCTGATCCGGTCCACAAATGAGCTCCACACCCCTCATCCAGTCCTGGGAGGCCAGATGATTTTGATACTCCTGGTCTACAACAGCAAGAGCCAACCTTTTTGGCAAGTGTTGCTAATTAGCCCTGAGCCCTCCCTGAGTTCCACTCCAAAATCTGCCTTCTGCTTCCAGACCTGTCTGCTGCTGCATTACATGTCCCCTCCCTGATCTGTCACATGCCATAGACTACCCATGTCTCAGGTTGGCCACCTGGTCTAGGGAATCTGGAGACATTGGTAAACTATTTTAGTGTTACTCTGGCAGTTTTTCATCACAAACTCTTTGATGCAGGTTATGTTATATAAGTCATAGTAGACATGAATAAATGTGCCTTTTTCTTCCCTTTTAGTCTTGGTGGAATAGGATGTCAAATAGATTCCGCAAGCTGAAGTTGACTCAAACTTTGCGTCATGGATTTTCTACCAATCAGTTTGTGCCTTTTCCTGATGAGCCAGAAATGTCATTAAATTCTACCATAAAAGCCACTTCACAGAATGATGTGAACAACTCTGGAATCCCTGATACTACTACAGCTTGGATCACAAATAAAACTAGTGGTAAAGTCCTATTCTATTTGGGAAGTGTTCTTTCATCTGGTAGTTAAAGTGGTACCTTCTTCAATGTAGCATTTTTGGCATAAAGGGAAACTCATGTAATAAGCATACAGTATATTGAAATAATCTGGACAGAGTAATTTTATCAGACTTATATTATTTTTGGTCAATGATACCAACTGAGTAGATTTAGGATTTGAGTAGATTTATCTACTGACCATTTAGAAAAGAAGATGCTTAATTTCATGTTATCATGGCATACTAACAGTTCAGAAACATCTGCACAGTAGATTTATCTGTCACAGGAAAATTTCTATCCTTCAATGTAAATGATGTCACAAATGATAGCAAGAGATTGGGAAACATGATTGGGAATGAGGGGTAAAACTCTGTTATCCTTCGTGCACCTAAATGGCAACTTTCCAGCCACGTGTGGCGTTTTTGGCACTTGCACAAAGTTTATACTTCTGTTATCCTTGCAGTGTGAACTGAATTTAAGCTAGCAATGGGGAGCAAGGACAATAAGAAGTCCTTCTTTAGGTATGTAGGGAACAGGAGGAAAACAAATGGAAGCATGGTGCCACTGCTTAACAACTCAGGACAGCAGGTTACTGACACTTGGGAGAAAACTGAACTCCTTAACATCTACTTTGCTTCAATATATCACCGGACTAAGGGGAAAATCATGCTAGATAAGTTTCAGAATGGGCATGGTGGGAATGACCACCTTCCTGCTATTGACACTGAGCTGGTGTGTATTCAGTTAGAAAAGTCAGACATTTATAAGTCAGTAGGACTGGATGAACTTCACCTGAGAGTGCTAAAGGAGCTGGCCGAAGTCATTGTGGGACTTCTGGCAAAACTCGTGGCACTCGGGAGAGGTCCCTGAAGACTGGAAGAGGGCCAATGTTGTGCTCATCTTCAAGAAGGGGAAGAGAGAGGACTCGGGCAACTATAGGCCAATTAGCCTAACTTCTATCCTAGGGAAAGTCCTGGAAAACTTCATCAAAGAGTCTATGTGCGATACACTTGCAGGAGGTAGGATTCTGATTGACAGCCAGCATGTCTTCATCATGGGCAGCTCTTGGCTTACCAATCTTATCTCCTATGACCAGGTAGCTCGCCACCTGGATAAGAGAGAGAAGGTCGACATTATATACCTAGACTTCCAAAAGGCCTTTGATTTGGTATCCCATGATGTTCTTACAGGAAAATTGGAGGGTTGTGGGCTTAACTGCTTGACATTTAGGTGGGTAGGAAACTGACTGTGAGGTAGGACCCAGAGAATTCAAAGGAATGGATCTGTGTCATTCTGGAGAGAAGTGGCCAGTGGTGTCCCTCAGGGGTCCATGCTTGGTCCAGTGCTTTTCAACGTCTTTATCAACGATTTGGAGGTGAAGCTAAAGACCTCACTGGCCAAGTTCGTGGATGACACCAAATTATGGGGGAGCGTGGTCACGCTTGAAGATAGGCTGCAGATACAGGCAGACTTAGGCTGGCAAGTTGGGCATATTGGAACCAGATGAAGTTCAACATTGAGAAGTGTAAAGTGCTCCATCTGGGGACAAACAACCCCCAACATAATTACAGGCTTACTGGAGCCCATTTGACTAGCACCACGAATGAAAGGGACCTAGGGGTAATAATTGACCATAGTATGAACATGAGTCATCAGTGTGATGCTGTAGCCAGCAGGGCAAGCAATACCCTGACATGCATCAACTGATGCATCTCAAGTAAAACCAAGGAAGTGGTTCTTCTGCTTTACTCAGCATTGGTGAGACCACAGCTAGAGTACTGCGTCCAGTTCTGGGCGCCACACTTCAACAAGGACGTGGAAAATTTTGAGAGTCCAGAGAACAGCCACCCATATGATGAGAATCTTGCAAGGCAAGATCAAGGCATTCAGCCTAAAAAAGAGAAGGCAGAGAGGGGACTTGGTAGCAGCGTACCGCTACATCAGGGGAATACATCAAGGGCTTGGTGAACAACTGTTCACCAGGGCACCCTTAGAGAAAACCAGGAGTAATGGCCACAAACTCCTGGAAGACCGATTCAGGGTCAACATTAGGAAAAACTTTTTCACAGTCAGGGTGTCCAGACTGTGGAAGAAACTCCCTCCAGAGGTGGTGCAATCACCTACCCTGGAGATCTTCAAGAGGAGACTGGACAGTCACCTTGCTGGGGTCACCTGACCTCAGTTGTCTTTCCTGCCTAGTGCAGCAGGGCTGGACTCTGATCTTGTGAGGTCCCTTCCAGCCCCTTACAATCTATGAGTGTGGACATGTAAGCATTCAGACTTAAACTGAGCATGTACAGTAGACTGTTCATTGGCCAGGCAGGTACATATGCAGACCCAATTTATGCACATAAGCCATGAAATTGTAACAGGACAGAAACTTGACCAGTAAGTTTTAGACACTGGAAGAGGAGGCCCCTTTCATGTTTCATCCCCAGTAGCTCCATGGTTAAAGTACTTGCCCAGGAGGTGGGGGGCCTCCCTCAACCACAGCTAGTAACTCTCTGACTTCCTAGTGTGGTGTTCTAAGCACCAGACCATAGGCAAATCATTATCCAGTCCCTGCTCCAGTGCGCTTTCTGAAGCTGCCTATTGCATTTAATAGTTACTGGCAAAGGGGACAGTTTCTTTTCCACTAGAGGAGGGTGCCAAGGCTAGAACCCAAGGCCTGCTTTTTTCCAGAGCAGTAGCCATCTGGCTGGGCTACACATACTCTGGCTTTTTCTCTGCTCCTTGGTTCTACTATCTCTCTCTCTTGTTTACCCAGGGGGTCAGCTTCAAAAGGAACACTGGAGTGGGGATTAGAACATCTTTATCAATGGATAACCTGCAGCCTGGTTGTTAGAGCCTTTGGCTGGGAAGTCAGAGGGGTCCAAGTTGTGGACAAGGGTGTAACCTAGGTCTCTAACTTCTTGGTTCTAAAGCAGTTGCCCTAACCACTCAGCTGTTAGGGCTAAAAATTAAGAAGGCCACCCCTTTCTGCATCATTGTTTTTTGTGGGGACTTAAACCAATGTATGTACATAGGTGCCATATAGCTGCTCTGCCAGTGTGTACCTTACTGTGCCTTGTTTGGTATACATGTGGATGCTGTACAGGTAATAGTCACAAACTGAGCATAAATGCCAAAAATGCCACTTGCATGGCTAAGTAGGTGCTGTTTAGATGTGGACAATATAATAGAATTCCACACAAGACAAGTGAAAACACCAAAGCCCACCTATTAAAATGTAATCACTTTCCACTGAAAAACTGAAACGCACCACATACAGAGTACATGTACACGAGATGTTTGCCATGCAGCTGACTAATTAGCTGCGTAGTCAATGTTGCATGTCTACACGTGCAGCCCTATTAGGCTGGAGTAAACTAATTTACTCTATAACAGGATAGTACTTGCGAATACAAGTAGTATCCTGCTGCAGGCTAAAAACCTTCAGAGTAAAAAACTGGAGTAAAAAACTCTGCAGTAGTGCATGTGTAAATGCTGCCTTGCCTGGCTCGGGCACGAGAGTGCTTCAGTGTGGGGGCTGCCTGCCAGCTAGCCCTGTGCTGTAGCACCCGTGTGCCCTAGCCAGCTGCTCCTCTGCACATTGAGCTGGTGGGGAGCAGCCCCAGGCTGGCAGGCTGACCCCTCTTCCTCCCCGGCCCACTGCCAGCTGGAGCTGCACTGATGCTCTTGCTGCAGATGAGTTTAATGCTTCTGGGCACATGTTCAAAGGGTATGCCTAGGAGCAATAAACTGGTGCAGTAAGCAATTATTGCATGTGTAGATGCTCCTATAGTGTACTACATTTCTTTCAGATATCATCCCACAAAAGTCAGTGGAATTACATTAGGGAAAAATCTGTCTTATTGTGAAATAATTGTGCCCTGTGATATGTTTGTCAGCACTATCCTGGGGAATAAGAATCTGGAATCTTTAAATATTTTTTATGCATTTTTTTCAGGTACGGGTACTACAAAAATAGAAAAAGATGATGAAATATTGACAACCATGGTAAGTTTCACTGCTCTCAGCATGCTTATCATTTGTTCGTGGTGCCTGGAGTGGAGAGTATCCAAAATGCTGGGGTCCCCCCAGCCCCACAGTTACAGAGGTCATTAGCTGTTTTAGGATGAAGTAGGGCAAAATGTAGGACACAGTGGCATCTTAGGCCCCTGGCACTAAACTAACAACATGGTTAACCAGTCAGTTATGTCTTAAGTAGTTACCCAGCCACAGGTTAATGCAGTTAATGCTATGATAAAACAAGCAATAAGCTGTAAAGTTATTACACAAATAACTTTGTGGCTGGTTCCTATCATGCCATTAATTGAATTTTGGGCCAGGCTGGGGCTCCCAGCCACAGGGATACAGCTGGGAGCCCCATCAGCTTATCTGGGCTCCTAGCTGCTGGGGCTCATCATACACACCTGAGTCTGGGAGCCCAGATCAGCTGCCAGGCCCCAGCCATACAAGCTTGCTTCTTGCCAGTGCAGGGGGAGTTCAGGATCAAGATCCTGGGCTCCCCCTGGACCCTCAATAAGTCATAATGGGATCTGATGTTTAATCCCACAGTCATGCCTCTTGCCTTGCATGTGTAGCATGGCAGGAAGGGATCATGCATCAGATCCATCTCACCTTTAATTGCACATCGGCTAGGGGCCTTAAGGCCTAATTGCATGGTAATTTTGAGTGGTTCCTGGAGCTCTTAACCCTTGGATTATCTGTACATTAACATCTGAAACTAGTTTTAAGCACTTGGTAGGCAGCTCAAAGTTACTCTACTCCAGGGCAGAATTATCTCTGCTCTGTGTTACCCAGCTTGTGTTACACTAAGGTGTAGCCATGTTAGGCTACACCATAGTGTAAACACTCCACTTGTCCCCCTCCCACGACTGGCCTGGATCAGGCCCACTGTTCACCCTCATCCCTCTTCCCCCCTGATGACTTCTGGCTGTCCACACTGTGTGTCCTAGTGGAGCAGTCAGGGAAGTGTTAACCTGCCTGCTGGGCTGCTGCTACCACTGCACCACCACCACTGCTGCTCCCTGGGCAGTCTCAGTCCAGAGAAGATCAGCAACCTGGCAGCGGTGGCAGTGGGAGTGAAGCAAGCAGGTTATCTCTTTCCTGCCTGCTTCCCCAGCACAGGCAGCCCTAGTAAGCAGGGAGGGGTGGGGGGGAGCCCCAGGGGTAGGGAGGGGAATTGGGGGAGCCCAGGGGACAGGAGGGAGCCTGGAACAGGAGTCGGGGGATTCTTACCTTTCAGTCCTCTAGGTCTTTGCTGGCCTGAATGTGTGACTGCTCCAAACTTGAGCTAGCACTACCATCGATTAACATCTGTGTGGAGTAAACAGATGGTTTGGGTAATGGGATGAGAATCCATAGTCCCTGTTGAGACCATGGTTAACCCAGTCGAATATATAGATGATTTTTAGTTCTGTAATTTCCTGTTCAAGTTGGATTTCAAAGGGGGATTTCTTGTTTATTTTTTTAAGGACAGCTACTCTGAGGTCAATGATTGCTAGAACAGGATCTGTTACAGATTCTGTGGAGTTGTAACTGTTGGAAAAATTGACCCTTAGAGAACATTATCTGTTGGTTGATGGATGTACCATCATATACTCCATAATTATTTTTAAAAAGAGATCAATTGAATAAATGCTTTGTTCTTGAAAAGGCTTTAAAGAGCACTTTTAGCAAGGTGAATTCTGAAAGACTCTAGTGACTTTTTGGAGAAATTTAAATAGTAGAAATGAACATAGTTCAGCATCATGCGCAACAAAAGAGGAAAACAAAGAAATCTATTTCAGTTTTACAATTTTTTATAGTCTAGAGCAGGGGTTGTCAACCAGGGGTATGCATACTCCCAGGGGTACTTTAGAAGGCCCTAGGGAGTACACGCAGGGGCTTAGGGACAGAGCGCTGCCATGCATGATCCTGCTCTGCCACGCAGGTGCTGCCCAACTGGCTGGACATGGGGGGCAGGGGAATCTCACACGCAGCAGCTGCCGCTGCTCCATGTTCGGCTGTGCACCTCCCCTCCTCCTGCTCTGTGTCTAGCCACCAGGGGTACACTGCTCCACATCTGGCCACCAGGGGTACACTGACCCAAAAAGGTTGAAAACCCCTGGTCTAGAGACTTTGTTGGATGATTTTCTCTTGGGAGCATAGAAGTTCAGAATGTGTACAGATCATTAGATCTTTGAGCACTCTTTAATGTGGCTTACTGAGGAAATTAAGGGTGGGGGGTTCTTCTGTTAACTGTTTTCCTCATACAGCAAGAAAAGGCTGTACGTTGCTGTTACAGGTCCCACGTGGAACTTTGATTCATCAACTGTTTAGAAGCAGATCATTAATCCTTCTATTGACTTCAGTTGGAGTAGGTTGAGGCCCAAAGGAGGACATGAAATAGTTTTATAATTAACAGGGGACCTTCTATTATTTAAACAAGACATGTTGAATAGAGTACATGTGTTAAGTTTATGATCAGAGCTCTAATGGCCATTTGGTTTAAGTATAATTTATTATTCTATAGTGCAGGGGTTGGCAATGCTTTTGGGCCAAAAACACACACAACCTCAACTTGTAAGATGTTGGTGTCCCACGGAAGGATAGAGGGGGAGCCGCAAGGGGCCCAGTCCTTGTAGCAGTACAGTCCCAGCCCCTTCCCTGTCATCAGCCCCAACATGTGCATGGTGAGCAAAATGCCTTTGTGTGCCACACTGTCACCCATGCCAGGGGTTGCCTACCCCTGCTATAGTGTATATCTTCACAAGTATTTATTTTAGAAATCTTCAAAAAATGTTACTTTTCCTTTTTTAAAAATTTCTGTCAATTCTCTGTTAATGACAGATGACAGAACAATGAGCAATGGTCTCAAGTTGCAGCAAGTGAGGTTTAAGTTGTATATTAGAAAAAAACTTTCTCACTAGGAGGATGGTGAAGCATGGGAATGGGTTAGCTAGAGAGGCAGTGGAATCCCCATCCTTGCAAGTTTTTAAGGCCTGGCTTGACAGCCATGGCTGGATTGATCTAGTTTGGGGATGGTCCTGCTTTGAGCAGGGGGTTGGACTAGATGACCTCCTGAGGTTCCTTCCAACCCTAATTTTCTTTGAGTCTATGAAACCCTTAAAGTTTGATATCATATGTTTATAATCAGTGCATTCCCTAATAACTTCACTTTCTATTTTAAATATATATCATTAGATCTAAAGTAATCTTTCCAAAAATATACCATTTTTTTCTTCTCAGTTAAGAAGTGGTGCTCCATTTACTAGGCTACCTAATGATAAGCTCAAGGCTGTTATTCCTCCTTTCTTACCTCCCTCGAGTTTTGAGCTGTGGAACTCTGACCGAACACGTACAAACAGAGATGGCAAGGCTGAACAGGTGAGAACCACTTTACCACTGTTAGCAGTCAAGTATGATTTTAATAGCAGTGGAAACTGAGCCATAGTAAGTGAATTGATTGTTTAAGAAAATACTGTACATTGTTACCTCCAGGGAATTTGAGCTGATAAGACAGCAGTTTGATAGATGTCAAGGCACTCTTGAATTCTTGCAATATGAGGTGGTAAGACTAACTTACAGAATACTATTTTCTATTGCAAATGCTTTAAATTCCCATATCTGTCTCTAATCTTCACCCTCTAAACTCAAGCTTCTCGTGCGAGGGGGAGGGGAAGGCAGAAGTATCCTTGTCTAAGAAAAGAAGAATAAGTTGAGTAAAGGCTTGTGTGCCACACTAAATTTAATAAACTCCATCACTAAGACAGATTTGTCAAAAATTGCTGAGACGGCCATAGATTCCAAAGTAATTATTGGATGTATATCAGGAGCTTCTTTGGGTTGGAGATGAGTTTAAGGAGTAAGTTTTGTTTTTCTCTATATTTTGGGCCTTAATAGCCAAGAAAGAGAGGCTTGTTTTCTAGTCTGGAGGTTGGTGACAGTGGAGGAGGACATCTAGGGTTGTATGTTATAGCAGCTGTAGGTGGAGGACAGCAGAAAGTTAAAGTTGATGGCTGAGCATCTACAGGATGTGTTGAGATGAATTGGAGGATTAAATGAAGGAGAATTGGATCAATGAGCAGGAAGGTAAATATTAGTCAGTTAGTGTATATAGGATACTTATGGCAGTGTGAGAAAGGGGACTAGAGAGGAGAGGCATTCGTCAAATCAGACAGTGAGAGTACTCTCAGAGCAGTAGGCTCAGAGCCACAAAAGGGCAGAAAGGACTGGAAGATGGGATTTCAGGTAGTGGGTGGTGACAGGTGGAATGAGAAGTAAAAGGAGGAGGAGGTGGTTAGAGCTGAGGCCTTGAGATTGGCTAGGATATCAGTAGCGCTGTCAGTGAGGTAGAATTCTGAGGGCAGTAAGTTGGATAGAGTTTCAGAACAGGATTTCCTTGTATTAGTTGTAGTTTAGTTAATATAGAGAAACACAGGTACGGTAGAAATAGAGGTGGCTTATTCAAGAAATGTTTTTATCAGATGGGGACATTAGAAAGGACTCTTTATGTAACTGTTATGTATTTCTCATGTTCTGCCATTTAGAAATAAAAATAGAGTTAATTTATGTTAATGCCTTCTTTATAATTGCAGTGTAAATTCACAATGCTCAAAAAAATCACATTAATTTCTGTTGTCCACTTTGATCCTTGGAGCTAGCAAGCTATTGACCTTACATTTTGCAGAACTGAGTTTTCTCCAAGAGATGTAAAAATCTTACTTTTACCCTTTCAGACATCTGGAAGCAAAGGTTCTAGACCAGTCAAATTGCCTGCTTTTGTACGAAGACCTGCTTCTCCCTCAAATTCCAACACTTTCAACCATTCTCCTCACTCCTCTGGTGGATCCAACAACATAGCTGGAATTAACAGACACGGTGGAGAACTGCATAATAGATCAGGTGCATATTATTTTTCTTTTATAAAGGATCTTAAGACTGATTCAGCTAGGTAATCAAAGTGCACAGAAAAAGTAAGAGTAACAAGATTTGTTTTTGAAATGCTTGCTTCTGTTATCAATGAAGTAAACAGGAACATTCACATTAACTTAAGTAGAACAGGAACTACTGGCTAAAATTCTGTAGCCTCCATTATATAGGACAGGGCTGTCAAATGGGTGGCTTGCAAGCTGCTTCCAACCTGCAAGGGGTTAAGTAAAGCCCACAAGCTCTGGCCAGGTTTCTACTCCCTCCATCGCTCCTACTGCTGAAGTGACAGCCAGAGTCTCTGGGGCACGGCAGCATGGCATGAGGCGGCCTGTATCCCAAAATATTACTGTGATGCACCTAGAGGAGAATGAAGAGATCAGGGTCAGCCAGCATGGATTCACCAAGAACAAGTCATGCCTGACTAACTTGATTTGCTTCTATGATAAGGTGACAGGCTCTATGGATGGGGGAAGAGTAGTAGATGTGATATACCTTGACTTAAGCAAGACTTTTGATACTGTTGCCCATGACATTATCATGAATAAGCTGAGCAAAATATAGATCAGATCAAAGCGCTGTAAGGTGGATACGTAAATGGGTGGATCATTGTGCTCAGTGAGTAGTCCTCAGTTTCCCAGTATCGAGCTGGGAGGAGATATCAAGTGGGGTTCCCTGGGGATGTATCCTGGATCCAGTAATGTTTAACATCTTCATTATTGATTTGGACAATGGGATTCAATGCACACTTAGCAAATTTGCAGATGACACCAAGGCCTCTAGCAGACGTTCAGTTAAAGCCATGATCTGATCTTACTTGTGATCTCAACAGTCACTCCTCCTCCCATGCTACATGTGCATGGCAGGAGGTGTGATTGTGGCTTCAGGGATCAGATCCCAATTACACCCTGTTGATAGTACAGGGGAAGCCTGGAAACATGATCTCAGGCTCTCGCAGCACTGGCAGATAGCAACCTGGGTGCCTGGTGCACCCAGCTTGGAATACAAGTCAGCTGATCGATGCTCCCCGTCTTGGGAGCATACTGGAGTCCTTGACCCTGATGCACTTCCAAGGCTGGGAGCTCCAGTTAGCTGACTGGTGTGTCCAGCTTTGGGAGCACACTGGAGCTTGTAGCAAAAGGCACACTGGCCACAGCTCCAGTGTGCCCTTCATCCTGGCCACACATTCAATTTAAGGTGTGATGGAAACATATTAATTACAAATTCATTATTATGGAGTAATTAATTAATTAATTACAAATTACACATATTTTGTCTAATAACTTTGTGGCCAATTCTGTTTTGTTGTGCCATTCATTGCGTAAACTTGTGCCAAGGTTACTACTTAAGATTTGATTAACTAATGGAGTTGGGTTCAGTTGTTGACACTGGAGCAGTGATTCTCAACCAGGGTGATCCAGCACCTCAAGTTGCCATGGGATCTTTTTAAGGGTGTTACAAGTCGATGCACAGTATTAGCACTGCTAGGTGTGCAGACATCTACATATGATTCACAGAATAATCCTGGAGATTTCAAGTAAGGATCCATAGTGTCAAAAACTTTCTAACCTGTTGTAGTTATGCTGAGCTCTTTGCAACAGAAATATTGTTCTATTATTTTTCCGTAGTGAAAAAACAAGTGAAAACTAAGAGCTGGCATTTTCTGAGGGATGCTTTGAGTCTAATGAGAGGGGCCTTGAGTCTAAAAAGGTTGAGAACTACTGCTTTAGGACTAGAAGGACCTGGGGGTTACAGTGGACTATAAACTAAATATGACCCAAGAGTGTGCTCTGGTTGCAAAAAGACAAAACCAAACCCCTCAATAGCATTCTGGGTTTTATAAATAGAGTGTTTCTTGCAGATCAACAGAAGTGATTCTTTTGCTTTATTTGATACTGGTGCAGCCTCACCTGGAGTATTGTTTTCAGTTTTGGGCCCCACAATTTAATAACGATGTGGAAAGATTGGATGGAGTCCAGGGAGAGCAACAAAAATTAGAGGCCTGGGGAACATGACTTAGAAGGGAAGGCTGAAAGAACTATGATTATTTAGTTTGGAAGGGAAGATTGAGGGGGCATTTGAAGGATGGTTAAAAACAGGATCAAGATAGACTTTTCTCTGTGGCTATAGGGGAGAGGACTAGGAGCAGTGGTCTCAAAACTGCAGCATAGGAAATTTACGTTGAGGATTGGGAAGATCCTATTGTGATTATTACTTTCTGGGTGGCCAAGAATTAGAACAGGCTACCTAGTGAAGTTATGGAATCTTCATCTCTGGGAATTTTTAAGAGCAGGTTAGAAAGACTGAGGTGGTTTAGTCAGAGATGATCCTACCTTGAGCAGGGGGCTAGAGTAGATGACCTTTTGATGTCCCTTCCAGCCCTACTATGCTATGATCCTACTGTTTAAGAAAAAGATAGCCCTCCTGTTCCACCCCAGTAGAGAACTCTATTGGATGCCTGTTGTAATCTTTGCTTTGGTAGAGCAGTTCAGCCAGTGCCCAACTCTTCTAAGGCAGGGGTTTTCTACCAGGGGTACTCGTACCCCTGGGGGCATTTGGGAAGGCCCCAGGGGGTACGCAGTGGTGACACGCAGAAGCAGGGGTACTTGGGAAGCGCCACTGCTGCTGTGTGCTGCTGCCACCACATACCTGCTCATCCCCAACCCACCCTGCTTGGTGACCAGCTGCTGAGGGATTCCGTCCCCCCCACCCCCCTTTCGTCTGGAAGGGGTACCCACCAGGAGGAGTACCCACCGGAAGGGGTACTCTCCTTACCTTAAAAAAGGTTGAAAACTGCCGTTCTAAGGCATCATGTTTCTAATCTGTCATTCCCACCACAAATCTGGAAGGGCTTCTTTCTGTTTTCAGTCCCATTCCAACTCATTTGCTGGCTCAGAACATCAGTATCTGGATGGTAATCTCTGACAGCCTTACTCCAGTATATCTTTGCATGAAGGGATGAAGGACTGAAGAGCCACAGAAGGGAAAACGACTGAAAAATATGGGCAGAGGGTGGGAGCAGATTGCGTGTTTGGACTTGTTTACCTTGGAATAGGAGAACTTTTATTTCATCTTGTAGGGTCAGAGCAACAGGGTAGTCAGAAAAACCTGACATCCCAGAGCACCTGACATTTGAGATAAGCAAGACCCATCATGTCCACATCCAAGACCTCCAGTCTTTTCTTTGGCTCCTTCCTAGAAGCCCAGAGTATAGAACCTAGCCTTCTGAGTCTAGCTCTTTAGTCTTTGCTGGATCCATTTTCTCCTCTTTGTCTGCCACTTAGTATTTGCCACTTCCCTGATTACTGTGCTCATCTACTTAGGGTTGGCAAAGAAGTGTACTACCAATCTGTCTAAGGCTGGTGGCTGCCTTGCCTTGTGTGTGACTCCTGCTACAGCTGCTCTGCCAAGTGTGACTGCAAGACTTAAGAGCTAGCAAACTGATAGAGCTGGGCAGACCAAAAGGTTCACATAATAATGCTTATATAGTGATTGAGATATCTAAACCACTTGGCAGGCTTTAACAGCTTAAATGAATGAGGTCACTGGTAAGGGAAATCTGGAAAAGTAAGATAAGGCAAACTACCCCATGCCACGCAGTCAATCGTTAGCATGATTAGAGCTTGGGAACATTGAAGTCAACAGCTTCATTCACCTTAACCTCAGTGGAAGGGGGCTGAGGTGGTATGAGCACTAAGGTACACAGCTGATAGCCTAGAGGTTGCAGGTTTGAGACCATAGCAGAAGTGCTCACGGTGCAGAATTCTGTTAAATATTTTGTCACATAAGGAAAGGGAAAAAACCCTTAGTGGAACAGGATTGGGCCCATAGACAGGCCTATTTGCTGAAATAGGGCATGTTCCTACAGCTGAAACAAACACATTGACCATTTGTATGTGAGGAACTTCATGGAACTTTAGTTCTCAGATCCATACCGCCTTCCAAGTGTCTTCTGCCAGTGGTCCAGCAAGAGTAGGAATTTCCTGCAATGAGGCTGGGAATTTGGGAGTTTTCCTCATTCTGACTGATTTCTTGCCTCCACAGATCCACCTCAGAAAGGAGATAGAAGGGCATCCCTTTGCGTTTAGGCCTATGTTCTTTCCCTTAAGAAACAATAGTTGGCACTGCAGTCACAGGCCTGTCTGTGGAAGGATTCTGGCTCATGTTCAAACATGTTCAGGATTAGAGGTTGCAGGGGAGGAGTAGGAACAGAAATGGGTTGAAGCTTAATGAATTTATAAAGCTATGTTACTTTATTAAAGATGCTGCTTGCTTACACCTGATTTTTTGTTTTAATTTTCTGTTTCTCAGGTGGCAGTGCAGACAGTGTTTTATCTCAAATTGCAGCTCAAAGGAAAAAAGCAGCAGGTCTGCCTGATCAGAAACTCAATCAGCAGCATAGTCCGGTCTCCACAGCTCCTTCATCCACTCTGCCTGATCTGCAGACTGCTCAGGTCATTAGCAATGGCATAGGAAAGGTATGCTGATATTAAAAATGCTAATTAGGAAACACCTCTGAGTTCTGAGGCTATATAAATTCTTCTGACGGGTTAATTAAGGTGGCAGAAGTCACTAAATGGGCTGTACCTTGCAATGCATATGGATACTAGGCCTTGTTGTTTTTTATAGGCGTTTTCATAAAAGGCTGTTTTTACAGCTGATTACCCCCCGTCACAGCAATACTGAAGAAATAGTTGTATTTTTAATGGTCCCAGGAGGCTTGAGGGGCTTAAGAAGACATTTATCTCCACATCCATTTTGGTACACCTGGACCCTGCCAAACCATTCCTAGTAAAAGCGCCACCCTAGGAGCTGCATCCAGCTGGCTGAATACTCAAAAAAAAATTGTCTGTGTGCCTTCTATTCCCACTGAGAGCTTTTCATTGTCAAGACAGCATTTGAAGAATGGCAGCACCTTTTGGAGAGTGCCCACTACCCACACCAGGTCCTTACAGACCAGAAGAATTTGGAATATCTCCAGATAAATCAGAAGCTGAATCCATGAAAAATATGCTGATGATTTTTTTCCCCTCACATTTTGAGTTTATGGTCACTTATCAACCTGGCTCCTTAACCTGTGCCACCTGAGTGGCTCTGGTTCAGAATCTTAGATCTGGTCTGACTGAAGAGTAACCATGTCCATCTTGTTGTCTGTCTCCTACCAAGCACCTTATCAGTGGCAACAAGTGCTTGGCTCCATATTGGAGCGAGTCTACAGACCACTACCTTTGGAAACCTTCTTGCCCTTTATACTGGATTTGGGTTACAATCAGAACAGACATCTTTATCAATGACTACCCTTTTCCCCAACCATCTGCCTCCTCAGTCCTTCTTGAGAGACCTTTCTTACAAGAACCTTCTACCAAAAAAGTGAGTTCGTAGGAGCTGCTAAAGATGTTCTTTTGGAGTGTAAGACAGTAGATTTTTATGCTTGAGTTTTGGCTTATGCAGAAGAAGAGAGGAACCCTGCCCAGTCCTAGGCCCGAGGAGACTAAACAAGTATGTTTCTATCAAAACAAACAAATATACAAGTAGTCTATTTGTTTCTCTCAAAAAACCCAGACTCAATGAGTGTATTTCTTTCAAAACACTTGCCTCCATCATTTCAGCTGTTCAGGCTCAAGGTGGGTTTGATGCTCCCAGCTGATGAGACATATACTATCACATAATCATCTATCCACATCTCCCAGTTACCTAAGGGTATATCTGTACAGTGCAAAACAGTACCATGCAGAGATAGTCTGGGCTAGCTCTGCCCATGCTAACTCCAAAACTAGAAACAGTTTAACTGGAAGTAACGTGCCAATTAGCCCAGCTGCAGCACTTTTACTTCTTGTGTGGGCAGAACTAGCCCAGGCTATCTTTGCATGACACTACTTTGTGTCATATAGACATACTTGTGATTCATGGTTGAGCTTAAAAATTATCTTCTCAAAATACTGCCATGGACTGTCCACAGACCTAAGAGTTTACAAAGTGCCTAGTGCCGGATGAAGTGGTAAAGCATCAGAAGAAGGGGACACCTGTGTTTATGCACATCTAGGGGTGCCTGTAGACATTCTGGATGTCTGCTCTGATGTACTGTAATTTCAGTGCATTGGAGCAGACTTGATTAATTGAGTCAGCTGGAGTGTGATAATTAGCATGTCCCAGCAGCCTCAGCGTCTCATGTATTCACTGTCCCTGTACTTAAAAATGGTGGTGAGAGCACTTTAAAGCTTATCAAACGAGCTTTAATTAAAGCGCTTCCAGCACCATTTTGAAGCATGGGATGCTGAAAACATGACACTATGGGTGCTTTAAAGAGCAGCTCCTAAGAGCCTCTCTAATTAAAGCACCCCCTTGCCCCTGGAGTATGTGTAAAGACACCCTAGGTGACTACCTGCTTAGATACATGTCCTGTGTATGAGCCACAGAAACTCTAGAAAATGTCTTTTTCATATTTTCCTGCTTAAGGCTCTTAATAAATTTATAAAAATCATCTTTTTATACCATTGTGAGTAATGGACTTCATAGGAGCCATGAAGGGCTTACTAGAAATCCTCTCTTTGATGATGGATTCTAGTCACTGTAGTCCCTGTTAAGCAAGATAAAGCCACATAAGAACATATTGGTAGAGATTGCTTCTGCCTCTTGGCCATCTGTTGGTATTCACCTCCATGACAATGCTTTCCAGACTTCTTTTGTGGCTCCTACACTGTGGTCCAACTGGCTTATTTTCTGGCAAGGCAGATGAACAAGAGGCTGATAGTTGCACCTTGCATCATCCATCTCGGGGCAAAACTGGTGGCTGTACCCCCCAGAATATATGAAACAAGGTATCATTCCGCACTGCCCCTCATTAGTAACAGTGATCAGAGATTTATCAGGGACAGGTTGTGGATAAAATGTTGAAAAAACAGAAGTGTTAAATAAAATTAACTGTCAGTCAGACCTGCAAAGATGTCTTATTGAATCAATAATTGCAATATATCTCTAAACGGCTGCTATTTCAGTTAAATCTGTGCTTGCAGGAATTTTTTATCCAGCGAGAAGAAGCCGTCAACCTTTATAAACAGAGTAATTTTAATAAATATTCGTGTTTTGGGAGAGTTATTATTTGTTCTGTTACTGAGTGATTAATGTATACATCTTTAATGCCATTTTGGGTCAGCTTCTTGGCTTATGTAAGTCATTGCAGCTCCTTTAAATTCACTGAGACTAAGCACAAGATTAAGTTAAAGCTGTGCTTTGCTGAACTGGTAGTTTCAGTTAACATAAGCAATTCTTTTTTGTTGTTGTTTTTTTTTTAAACTTTAGCAGAAACTGGAGATGAACAAAAGGCCTACATCTGGGACCTCATCAACATCTAAAAGCACATCACCAACTCTTACACCATCAGCATCACCCTCCCCATCTCCTAAGGTTCAAGATGCAGAGTCCTTGCTCTCTTCTCACAGGCAAGCCAAGAGTAATGGTGGCTCTAGCAGTGGAACTATCACTGATGAAGGTAAGTAGATTACTACATGAAATTCATCAAGAAAAAAGTTTTAAAAGCCATAACATATTGGATTTGTGTGTGCTTGTGAGAAGCAGAGTGAGACTTGCATCCTTTTTAGAAATTTTGAAATAGTCTTTTCCTTAGTTTAATATTGGAAGCTCCTTGGCTCCTTTAGCCTCTCTAGATCTCAAAGGCTTTGAGCTCTGTCCACATACATGACTTTTTTTCAATGTCTGAGAGCCCAAAGCTGGCCCTTTTCCACATTCAGTGGTATTGGCCTGAGTATATATATGTCCTTTGCACTTTGGCCTCACTGCTGACACTCTCAGTCATTTTCTCTTGTGATGTGTTTTCCAAATGCAAGTGAAATTATTATCATTTAATTGAATATGTTAACTAAAAACAATTATTTTTGCTAATATGCTTTTGGCAAATTGATGTCAGCAGAGTGCTAGTACTTTTTAGGTAATGTGGCATATTGTTTTCGTGGATTCCAGAATATATTTGATTTTTTGTTTTAATATATAAAATGTGAGAGTCTTTCCATGTTGTATCATTTTTAGTTGCCATTTTGGGGCTAACTCATATATTCGTTAAAAAAATTAGCCTGTTCTATTGACATTTAAAAAAAAGTTGATTTTGATATTTCTGGAAATGAGACAAAATAACACTTTTCCTCAATGATATCTAAGAGAACTTTATGAAGCATTCAGGTTTGTGTTCTGTTTTGTTTTTGCAGATGCACTTTACTCTTCTTGGGAGAGGCAGGGCTGATTCTGCTGACACTTTTCCTAATTTAATACTGTGGAGCTACTCCTTATTTACACAATTTTAAGAGAAGTGCAGAATTTGGCCCATTATATGTTCTCACTGTAGACTAGCTGTTATATTCTGGCTGTTATATATTCCATTAATGGAAGAAAGCCATTTAGATTTTAGTTCATGCCATTTTAAAGGGATGGTTTAGGGGTGCACACCTAGAGAAAGAAGATCCCTTTCTCATACACAAAAGGAATCCCCTTGTGTAAAAACTGACCCACAGGTTAACCAGATCCATGGCTGCACCATTGGTGCCATAGTAGTCTGAGCTTCCTCAGCAGTGACATGGGGCATTTGTACATGCCACATTTTTTGCCCTTTCTTGTGCTGCAGTGGCGTGACTGCTTGCATGAGCGGGTTTTCAGGATGCTTTAAAAGTCTTTCTGGTGCATTGAACTGAAACTCCTTGGGCATAGTTTAGTTTGGCTCTCTACAAATTACACAAAGGCACTCAAAGATGTGTAATGAGCTTTTGGTTCATCAGATGGTGCTGCAATTTTTTTATAGCTCATCCCTTTGAATTGCTGCTGCTTTTGAAGTGCTTCCACTTATTATTTTTTGTGCCATGTGCTGGCTCCATGCTCCCACAGCTGCATAGCAGGGCACAGGGTGGGAGGCCCTGGGCTGGGGAAGGCAGTGAAGGACTGTCCTACTTTCCTGTGGTGCCGGCTGGGAACTGGGTTTCATTTGTTCAAAAACCTAGTGCGTGCAAACAATGATGCAACTCGCCAAAGCTTAATTAGTTCAAAAACCTAGTGTGTGAAATACTGATGCATCGCTCCAAAATAAACAAGTTTAAATTTTATAAACCTATTTAATTTAATGAGTATTAAACCCCATGATGTGTACAGGCACCCATAGGTGATAAATAGCCCTCTGCTGGTATTGGAGCCATGCTGCTGCAGGTATCCTTAGCTGCAGTTCCTTACTGTCATTAGCCACAGCCAGGCATTCAGAGGTCCTGTGCCAGTGCCAGAGCTGCATTAATATATTCAGCAACTGGGGAACATACACTTGGAAATTGTGACAAGCAGAATAAAAACAATATAAAGGGCTTATAAACATTTTGCACTTTTCCGTTTCTTCATATTAAAGTAAATAAGGCATTTGATTCACACAGGTTCTTATAATAAAGGAACAACATGCAGTGTGTCTCAAAGACTTTTATGATCTCTTTTCAGGTAACCAATTGGTGGATTACCACAAACATGTCCCTAGTTTGAGAACCACTGACATAGAGAATCATGAAAGAAGAAACAATATCAGAGTAAAAGGATTTTGTGAAAACTTGGAGAAAGGTAATCTTGCTGTATTAATGTTGCATATTATTAGAGAAATTAAACCTGAGTGTAACAGAAGCATTAGGTCTAATGGACAGACCTCTTAGATCTTTTTTTCTCCATGGCAAAATTATGTAATCATGTAATCTATACATTACTGTCAGCTAAAAAGACCCAATGCAAAAGGCAGGCACTGAGCAGAGTGGTAGTATCCCCTCCTATGTCCTACCCTTAATGTTCCTGTTGATCTAGCCCAAAACCACATTCACCTTTTTTGTGACTTCATCACATTGCAGACACATGTTGAGTCTATGATTCACCAGAACTCCAAGATCCTGCTCCACAGAGCTGCCATCCAGTCAGTTGTCGCCCATTTTGTGTTTATGTTTTTGCTTATTCTTCCCTAGGTGTAGCACCTTGCATTTGTCAGCACTGAACTTCATCCTAGTGTCTGTAGCCCAGTTTTCCAATTTTATCTATATCCTTCTGAAACGTCCTCCTGTCCTCAAGTATGTATGCAGCCCTTCCAAGTTTTGTGCCATCTGCATATTTGCTAAGGAAGCTTTCTGTTCTAGCTAGACTGTTCTCAGTGGTGTCAGATGACAGAACAAGGAGCAATGGTCTCAAGTTGCAGCAAGGGAAGTTTAAGTTAGATATTAGGCAGTTTTTTCTTACTAGGAGGGTAGTAAAACACTGGAACAGGTTACCCAGAGAGGTGGTGGAATCTCCATCCTTGGAGGTTTTTAGACAAAGCCCTGGCTGGAACAATCTACTTGGGAATGGTCCTGCTTTGAGCAGGGCGTTGGACTAGATGATCTCCGGATGTCCCTTCCAACCCTAACTTTCTATGATTTTATAAAACAGTGGCTCTCAACCTTTTCAATGTCAAGGCATCCCTCAGAAAATGCCAGCTCTTAGCTTTTGCTTGTATTTTGACTATAGAAAAATTCTAGGGCAATTTTTCTGTTGTAAAGCACTCATAAGGACCACAACAGGCCAGTATGTTTGGCACTGAAAATCTCTGGTTTCCTCTTGTGAATCATATGTAGGTGTGGCACATTTCAAGGGGAAATTCTGCCTAGGGATTTCCCCAAAGGGGGCCTCCTTGCCACCTGCTGCGAGTAGCCTAGGCTCCATGGTAGGCAGCAGGGGCCTGCCCAGGGGCCAGGCCTGCTGTGGCAGGTGTCTGGGAAGCTACAAGGCACTGCACCAAGGTCTGCAGAGCCCTGAGTTGGCTTGTTGCTGGCAGTAGGTACATGCATGCCTCAGAGCAGGTGGCGGGGCAGCTACCAGAGGCTCGATCCTTGTTGTGGCAGTGTGACCCCATCCCCTTTCCCACCATTCACCCCGAGGCACACGTGTACCCACCACCAGCAGTGAGCCAGGCCAGGGGTCCACAGATCTGGGTGCAGCAGTTTGTAGCCTCTTGGCCGCCTGCCACAGCTGGCCCGGGCTCTGGGCAGGCCCCTGCCGCTTGCCATGGAGCCTGAGTTGCTCATAGCAGGTGGTGGGGAGGCTGCAAGCCACTGCACCGAGCCCTGGCCTTGCTTGTTGCTGGTGGTGGGCGTGTGCACGCCTCTGGACAGATGGTGGGGAAGGGGCTGCTGCTGTGCTACCACAATAAGGATAGGGCCCGTCACAGCTCCCCTGCCATTTGCACCTGGCAAGCCAACATCTTGTAAGTTGAGGTGTTTTTAACACTCTGGCCAAAAACTTTGCTGACCCCTATCCTGTATATTCTATTTACGTCTGAAGGCAAAAGGTGTTCACACTGAGCCTCCCAAATGTGTTCCCCATAAGATCTCCAGCCGGAAACTTAGATTACTTAGCTTCTTTGCACACCTAACTGTGCTAATATTGCGCAGCACTTTAAAAAGATCTTGTGGCATCCCAGGGTGTCATGGCATCGTGATTGAGACTCAGTGGTCTAGAGCATTTTGGTTTCAATTAGTATTCTGGACAAAATCACTCTCTTTTAGGAATGACCTTGAGCTCGGGCCTGAAACAGTAGATAATGGACTTTTACATCACACAGTACCTTGCCTGTGTTTCAGCACAACCTTGTTGTTGACAACAGTCCTTCAATAAGAAGATGACAGTTTTCCAAGAAACAGGGAAGTCATCAAAATGTCTGTAGATGACTGAGGAGGCTGATCTAAGATCTGCATTTTTGATTGCAGACATGGCAAATAGTTCTGGGAGGATGGAATAGAGCCTGGTGATGTTGGATCACAGCTCTTTCCATTTATCTCTCTCATCTCTCTGATTCCATATTGAGGTGAGTTTGTTTGAAATGATCAATGCCTTGTCATACATCATGGTGCCATTGGGTGACTCAGTGCTTGCATTTCCCAGATATTGATGTTACTGTTTTATTTCTTTAGATAGGTCTTCAAGGTATCCTTGAATCTCTTGTTTTGCCGTCCTCTAGAGTGGTGCCCATCTGTGAGCTGGGAGAATAGTACCTGTTTAGGGAACCAGTTGTCAGGCATCCTTATGACATGTCGTGTCTAATGGAGCTGGTGCTGTATAAACATGGCTTCAGTGCTAGTGGTGGTTGTTGAGCCAGGACTCTGGCATTTGTTTTTCTGTCCTTCTAGTTGATATGGAGGATTTTTCAAAGATATCACTGATGGTAATGTTCCAAAGCTTTCAGGTGTTTCCAATATGTGATCCAAGTTTCACGCCCATGCAGTAGGGTAGAAATGATAATAGCCTGATAGATGAGAAGTTTGGTTTGGGTCCTGATACCAACTATCATCAAAGACACAATTTCAGAGATGTCAAAAGGCAGCAGTGACAAATTTTATTTGGTGTCGAATATTGTTGTCTGTGTTTACTTTTGGGAAAGCACGCCACCCAGATAGGGGGAATGCTCAACCTTCTCCAAGGATTACCCTCTAAATTGTAATGTGTGGAGGAGCAGATGGTTGTTTTGGGGTGGGCTGGTAAAGGATATTGTTTTTTGTGAAGTTGATAGTGAGTCCAAACATTTTATATACTTCACAGAAACAGTCACAAGTAACCTGGCACTCTTCAATTGAGTGGGCCCACATGATGATTGTCAGCATATTAAAGATCAGTAATGGAGGTGTTGGTTATCTTGGATATTGGAACATAACCAGTTGATGTGAAAGACATTCTGCCTATACCATATGACTCCAGACAGAAGTCTGTCAGCAATGAGATGCAGAGTATCTGTGATGTAAATTGGAAAAGAGTGTTTGTATAATCACAAATCCTTGCTTAACTCCAGTTCTAATAGTGAAGCGGTCCATTTCTGAGTTACTGTTTAGGACAGTTGCTGTAATGTCATTGTGAACAAGTGTGATACTAATAACAAATTTTGGAGGGCATCCAGATCTCATCAGGATCTTCCATAGGTCCTCTCTGTTGATAGAATCAAAGGCTTTAGTTTGGTCAGTGAAGATTATGTAAAGATCTCTGTGTTGCTTGCAGCATTTCTCCTGCAGCTGTTTAACAACAAAGATCATATGTGTTGTAGCTCTGAGTGGTCTGAAACCACACATGAGGACTCAGGTAGCATCTCCTCAGCGAGGAAAGTGAGTCTGTGGAGAATACGGGTGAAGATCTTTCCAGCTAAGGAGAGGAGTGCAATACCATGATAATTATTACAATCCAATCCATCTCCTTCCTTGAGCATGGTAACAATTCTGGCATCTCTCAAGTCACTGGGAATATGTTCTTGTTCCCAAATTTTCATAATGACAATGTGTAGTTGGTGTGAAAACTTTTTTAGACTTAGACTAGATGAGACTTTGATCCAGTGTGGAGAAATAAAGGAGCACTTTGCACAGGCAGGCAGAAGGAAGTTCCTTCTAGCTATCCAGGACTATTTTTATGAACATTGACAACTACTGGTATAGTCTTTCTGACTCATGCTGATCTTTCTCTCTTCTCCTCCTTTTTATCTGCCTTTGTTTCCTATTATCTTCATAAATGAGTTACTTTTCAGGTACTCTCCCTATGTCCTTGGGAATTGAGATTTTCTAGGAATTGGTGCGGTTATTCCTGAGAACTGTAAAATCTCCATCATTTTGCCTCACTTTATGTCCTCATTAAAATAAGTTATTATAATTTTCTGTCAATCAGGGAGGTAGATTCAGGTGAGTTCAAAGGTAGAAGAAAGGAGTCCTGGTCACCCAGACCTACTTTCAGTTTCCATGCTAACACAAGTGGACTTGAAATACAGCTAATGAAGCAGCATTGATTTAACTGAGGTAAGACTAGGTGACTAACTAAGCACTGCACCTATAGTACACATTCAGAATAAAGACAGACTTGTTTTGTACATGAGTGTGTGCCTTGGGTGTTGGCCTTCGTTATCTGTAATTTTCAGCAAGTAATTTGTATCTTTCCGAGAGATTACTGAGATTCAATTGTTTTAAAATGTAATAATAATAATAATAATTATTATTACAGATGAGCTGACTGGAATCCTTAAAAAGTTGTCACTTGAGAAATATCAGCCTATTTTTGAAGAACAGGAGGTAAGATTTTTTAGATGTTTAATTTTTCAATGTTTTAGCACGTAAGTAGACTTCATGCCTGAAACCTGTATTCTGTTACTGGAGTAAAAGCTTAACCTCATGTACTTTTTAGCTGTGGTATTTACATAAAAATTTAGCCCCGATTGCAGAACCATAATTCCAAATCTCAACTTTAATTTGAAAATTCTTCCCAGACTTTCTGGTTGCATAGATTACCTTGAAAATGCAAAGTCAGCGTTAATAGGTTCAGTAACATGTGCGTGGTTGTACAGGCAGCATGAAGCAGCAAACTTGAGAATTATGAGGTGGTATGTTCATCTCTGTTTGTCTTCATGGACTCTGTGATTCCAGGAACGTGGACTGTTTTGTTGGCTTCTAAAGGATTTTTCACCTTCCTTTGAAATGTTGGATACTGGCTGCAGCAAGGGATGGAAGTTTTGACTGGTGGTGCTGTTGGTATTCATGTACAAAGTACAGAGCTCAATAGTAGTTGCCTATAGAGTAAGAAAGAAACTTACTTCTCCTGTAAGTACCTCAGGGAGCAGTCCTACAGCCTTTTATTTAGGAAAATGTACCAAATAGTCAAAATGATCCCTAAAAATCTATTTAACTGAATTTTCAAGATTGATTACATATTTTGGTGCTGCCATTTTTAGATGTAAAACTTAACGGAGCTAAATTTTCAGAGGTAGGGAGTACCTGGATTCTACAAATCATGATCCGAAAACTGAGGCAATCAGAATCTCTGTTTTGATGATGATGTGGACAACTAAGACAGCAGGTAAAGACAGCAAGGTATATCTTTTCAGAAGATGCAAAGCCACTGCATATGCACACCATCCATCAAGGGTGCCATCCCCTGCAGGCATTTCCAGTCATACCACCTAGTGCTGCTAATCCTCATTTCCTGAGGGGTAGGTCAGACTCCTGACCCACTGCCACCTCAGGGCAGGTGCTTTGATCCCATTTGTCAAGGGGAAGTCTACTAAACTCATAATTCCTTTCTCCTGCTCCATCTCTGCTGCCTAGAAGGTGGTTTGAACTATTTAGCTCCCTGCTTACCAGCTGCCCCTTGTTTTCATTGAGGTCAGGTTTACAGGTAGGTTCCAACAAACCTCAGGGCAAAGAACTGCCCCTGGAATATGGTCCTACCTAGTTGGAGAAGCACAGCTGAATCCTTGTGGGAATGTGATCTGAATATGCTAAAGTTCATTATTTTGGCAAGAGCAATTAAAAATCACACATGGAAGATACCTGGCCAGCCTCCACAGCTAAGAATCCACAGAGTGGGCACTGAGTATCAGGTCCATGTAAAACAGATGAATTGCATTGTGACAGGCACAGGTAATCTGCGCCCCCTGCTCTTCCCCCGCAGAGTCTGGTGTCTCTAGTGGCCCGAATAGCCTGTCCATGTTCCCTGACCTCTTTCGTCTCCTATATCTTCCCTCCCGTGACTTTCTGTAAAATATATGTCAAAGGGGAGACTACCTTCAGAAGCAGGGGTGGCCTACTTGGTGCCTATTGCCTCTTCTCCTCTCACCCCAGGGGTATACTCACTCTTTAAGAGAGCCTTGGTTGCCCTAGGGACTAGAATTGTGACTTCTAGCTGCCCCCATAGTCACACGCATGCCTTGCAGATGTCAGTCAGTGTGTAGAGGGGGGCCTCTGGCCCTGACTCCACCCCTGGTTCCTTAAGCCTCAAACTTTGGTTGGGACTTCTGCCTTCCTGGCTTCAGCCCCTTTCCTCTAGGTGGGCCCCCCAGCCCAGGTCCATTGTCCCGGACTTCAGGTTTTGTGTCCCAGCCCTATGTCATCCTCTTGGGTTTCAGGCCTCTGGCCTTAGTCTCCTGTGACAGCCCTTAGGGTCCCTGACCCTGGCTAGGCAGTTCTATACTGGGTGCCTCTCCCTGTGCCTGAAGAAGGGTGCTTGTGCCCAGCAGCTTGCAAAGAACTTTGTTCCAACTACTCAGTTGGTCTAATAAAAGATATCACATCTACCCGAAGATCCTTGTCTGCATACTTCCCCCTTAGCTGTCTTACTTTTACTCTTGCCCTCGCTCTTACTCTTGTGGGTAGCTTGGGTGTCCATGGGCCTTTTTCGTACAGCCAGCTTCCCTGGGGGCTCCTTTCCCTGCAGCATGCAGGGCCAGACTGCCTCTTTTGGCTCAGGCCTTGGTCTTATTTGGCTCAAAGCCCCACCACTTTCCTGTCATGTGGCACTCCAGCCACACAAGAATTTGCCCTTTATTTAGGGCCAGCCTGTGCTCTTGTGCTGCAGCTCCACACAGCCAGCTTAGCCTGCTGCGCTCTTAAAGTACTGTAACAGGAACACCTGGGCTCCCTGTTACAAGCATTTATAAAGGAGCAGAAGATAATATGGATTCCAGGTTCTCCCCAGCAAGCTGCCTTTGTTTCAAATAATTCAGTTCTGTGTTTGCAATGGCAATTGGTCCCAGTATCAAGGCTCTAGTCTCCCATGATGCCACCTCTATGCCAGTTGACCCAGATCTGTCCCTCCTGGATATAGACCTTGCAGACTAGAAAGCTCCAAAGACTGCTTAGTAAGTGAAGTCAGGCTATTCACTTCTTGCATTGCCCCGAGACCTTCAGCTTCAGTGTGTTGTGACCAGTTTCATTGCAGGAAGAAGCCACTTGAGAGGCTTGCACAAGAGAATTGTCATCTCCCTGCTGATGCTTATCTATGGTACCACATCCACTGAGTCAATTTAAAAGAAATTACCTTGTACTTTGTCTCCCAGCAGGAGCCTACATGACCACCCCATACCTGCAAACAAAGCATGCACACAAGAGGTTCCTTTTTATTATTTTCCCCCTCTGTTGCCTTTGTGGTGTTTGCGTGCCAGTCGCATAGTTCTGTTTGCCCCTTGGCTGGACTCTAAAGTTAAAAAGCAACTTTCAGCCATAAAATATTTATTGGCTTTTTTAACACCATGTGTAGCAGGTTAGGTATTACCCCAGCACAGTCTTTATTTTTCTGGGCACTTTTGCCTCCAAGGAAACACTGCAAACACAAATCCTCAAATCAGTAAACAGACATAAACATGGTCTGTAAAAGGGTTAACTCAGTCCTAGGCTTTATCCCAGACCTTGAGAAGGTGACTCCAGCTCTCTGCTGGTCTCCCAGCACCTCTGGAATGAGTTGCCTTATGTGATGCTGATGCTTCCAGCCTTGCAGCCCCTAGTCTCTTCCCAGACCCTGAGAAAAGTGCCTTGGGCTGGTGTTGCAGCACTAGTATAGCACTCCCCCCTCCTTTCCCACCACAGCATCTAGCATCTCTCCCCCCCTCTCTCTCAGCTGCCTTCCCTGGGACTCTTTTAACTTCCTTTATGCCAGCTAGTTATTCTTATTATATGGCCCACTCCTCTTGGGCAGACCTGCAGTCAGGTTTCACTGTCCTCAGCTGATGTCTGCAGCCTGCTACAAGCTCCTGCAAGCCTGCAGCCTGCTACACACCATGTATATAGTTTATTTATTGCCTCTTCTTTCAATTTGTAAATAGGTTATTTTAAATTTTGAACGTTTACACAATTTATTTTGCTTTTTTCAGTGTTGAGTAGTTGTACTTAATGGCGTGCTGTGTTTTGCATGTTGTTTTTATGACCATTCACATATTTACTCTTCCAAGTTACGCTTATAATTTTTGTCCTGCCAGAATCTTCACACTGCCTCTCAGGCCCCTGGCATACATTACACTTAAAGCATGATCAACCAGTTAATCATGTCTTAAGCTGTAACCTGGCCACATGTTAAAGGAATTAATGGCATCATAAAACAAGGAATAAGTCACAAAGTTATTCCACAAGAAATGTGTAATGATAACTGTGGCTGGTTCCTATGATGTCATTAATTGAATGTGTGGCCAGGTACACTCCAGTGGCTGGGAACCTGGATCAAATGACAGGGCTTCCATTTGTGGGAGCACATGGTGCACCTCTGCAGCTCGAAGCCTAGATCAACGAATAGTGCCTCCTACTATGCATGTGTGGTATGGCAGGAAGTGCAATAGTGTAGACTGCGCATCAGATCCCATCACTTCTTTACCTGTACATCTGGCAGGGGCCTCAGTTGTTAAAGTTCAAGGAAAGTTCACGCGACCCAAGGCCAGTGAGCTTCTGTGTTCTGAGCTCTGCTGCCAGATGATGTATCCACTACCATCCTGTAGCTCCTGCAAGTGTAACTGCACATTTTGTGAGGCCTCATGCTCTCAGCCTGGGGTGTTGGGGGAGGCTTTTCATACAGGTCCAGGGAAAGGTCCATTTCTTCAGGTAGAAATTCTGTATTCATTGTTGGTCATTCTTGTTTTAGGGTATCTCAGTATTCTGTACTAGTTATTCTGCTCCAGAATTGCTGGTCAGCAGTTGGGCAGCACCTGGATATTTTCCCTGGTTTTTGCAGTGCCTTTGGAAAAGCTCTTTAGCATCCTATCAGACCAGCTGCTCCTCCTGGCTATGATAGTGAATATCTCCAGTACTAGATCCATGATGGCTTGTGTAGCAACCAGGCAAAGCAGAAAAGTGTCACAGCACCTGCAGTGGTTTTCAGAATGTGGATACTTGTCTTCCCTTGGCATCCCCAGGACTGGAAGTACAAGTTGGCCACTGTCTGAATCCTAGATGGTGCCTGGTTCCTTTTGAGCAAGGGTCAGGAGATAATTCTTGTGAATTCTTGTGATAATTCTTGAGAATTTAGTGCATTAATATGCAGAGCCTAAGGGCTGCTACAATATGAGGGCTGGATGGTAAAAGCTGTGAGTCACAGTTGCACTTTGACATCCTTGGGGGTGGGGGTGGGGTGTCAAAAAATAAAAACACAGACATACTGGGGGAGGGAAAGGAGCCCGTCAACACAAGACTTTTACTGGGGTGCTGCCTAATTAGCTCCGCAGTAAACATCTCAGCGTCTATGCGTGTGGCCCTATTAGGCTGCAGGAATCTAATAAACTCCACAGCAGGATAGTACTTTTACATATAAGTACTATCCTGCTGCGGAGTTTTTTACTCCGTAGCAACACACGTGTAGATGCTGATGGGCTGGCTGGGGCACAAAGGTGCTTCAGTTGACAGGAGCTTCCTGCTGGCTAGCCCCACACTGAAGCTCCCTCGTGCCCCAGCCAGCCCCTCCACGGTATGTTGAGCTAGGCAGGAGCAGCTCCCTGACGACTGAGGCTGCTCTGACTTAGCTCAGTGTGCTTGCAGTCCCAGGTGCACGTTCAAGTGGTGCTCCTGGGAGCAATAAACTCTGGTGCAATAGGCAGTGGAGTTTATTGTGTTACATTAAATATGCAAGTGTATATGCACCTACTGTGTATTAAGGACAAAAAGATGCCTCGTAATATCTGCAGATCTGCAAACACTTAAGTCTGGTTACTTATGTTTACACACGCAAGTAATCCCAGTGAATATGACTAGTCATGTGCATAAAGGTCAGTATGTATTATGAGGGTTGATGCCCAAAAATGTAAGTATAAAAATTGTTATAATCATATGCGAGTCTCTAAAGGAAAAGGTAAGGAATATATTTAGCAATACAAGAATCGTATGGCATTTTGAGTTCATTAAACTTTTTTTTCCCTTATAATTTAAACTTGTTTTTCCCCCTCAGGAAATCAGTTTTTTTAACTGAATGAAAACCTGTTCTATGCAAATATTGAGGAATGAGGCAAAAGAATAGGAAAAATGGCATAGCATCAAGGGTTTAGATAAAAATCATAGAAGGAAGCACAGAGAGAATATTAGAAATCTGTAAGCAATGTACGTGAAAATAAGATCAGTATGAAAAATGGAAAAAAGCCTGTTTTTATCACATGTTTATGAATACGTCATTGAACTGTGGAACAATAGAAATTGATTTGTGGATAAGGCCTAACTGATTACAGAGAAAGCAATGGAAATAGCTGCTCACAAAATGTCAAATTGGCAAGGCAAACAAAAAGAAGTTGAGAAAAAAAATTTCATCTCGGGTTCATCCATCACTACTATTTGCAACAAAAGCAGGTATAAAAATACCAGACAAATATTTTTTTTATATTGATTGTGTCTAATTTAATTGTTTAAAAAAATGCAACTACAGAGATATTATTTTGGTAAATTACATAAGTGAATTACTGACAGGAGATTTTAAACTCAAAAACAATCAAAATAGTGTAAGTGTGCTGTTTGGTAATAGTCTATTGTTTGTTAAATGTTTGTGCGTGTTTATGTAATTAAAGATATATTACACATGTGGCAGAGAGCCAGTGTCTACCAAGGTAAATATATTTCTATTTCTTTATTCAACAGGTAGATATGGAAGCCTTCCTCACACTTACTGATGGTGATTTGAAAGAACTGGGCATTAAGACTGATGGATCCAGGCAGCAAATCTTGGCAGCTATTTCCGAATTGAATGCAGGAAAGGTACCATCTGAAATAAGACACATGATGAGCTGGTTTAGGATTTTTTTATAAAGCAAATCCAAATATAGGACATAAAAAATTGATAGAATTATGAGAGAGAGGTTTGATATATTTTATTAGTTGTAAAAGATACCTCCACCAGTAATATTTTTTGTCTTTTTCAATAACTTCTTCTTTATTCAGTACAGTATTGTAAAATTATTCACTTTGCTCATTCATCCACTAATAAAAAAAAGAAGTTACTGGTGAGCAAAATATTGCTTATATAACAGCTATATGGACTTCAACTGTTATCATGGCAAAGAAATCCATCTTGTAAATGTAAAGCTCTACCTTTTTCTTTTGCTATCTTTGGAAGCAAAAGGATAATATTGTTTTGCTACAGTTGGAAGTCCGTGGCATTCTGCATAGTCCTTATAGTCGTGTCAGTTTATTTTGTATTTGCAATTGAAATAAGTAAAGCAGAAGAAAGAGAATGCATCAAGAGATGGCATGTTGAGGCATTCCCGCAGCTAAGCTGTGTGGCTCTTCTCAAGCCCTATACACAATGCACACTTACGGTGCCCCTCAAAAGTGTAGCATTTGGAGGGGTAAGAGGTATACCTTTCAAAACCCAATTTTGTTTGATACTCTCTATTTTCCTCCTGGTCAGAGTAGAGAAAACCATAAACCCAGGAAAAGCCCAATGAAAAACTGTGGACAGTATTTGAAAAATTATATATAAACTTAAATGTATCATACATGAACCAGCTATCCTGATGAGAAGGAGATTGATTTTAGTGGATGAATGAAGAGAAACTGAAGGACCTTGACGGGAAATGGGCTATTTACATTTCAAGTCCTTGGAATTTAAAGTTCAAAGTAAAACCCAACCCCCTTCCAGCTGACAACTAATTCTAAAAGGTTTCAAGGCAATGAGGTCAGGCACCCAGCACCGTGGTGGGGCTCTTTGTGGCAAAGCAAGGAAAAAGAATAGGGTTTCCTGCCCCTAATTTCCATTAAATCTAAGTTTCATCTCCAAAAATTAGAACATTTAAATGCAAATGTAAATTTATATTGTTGTATGTCTGAAGCAGCTTTTTTAGTTAGGTACAATACATTTTGAATCTGATTAATTTCCTTTCAAGATCAGACACACAGGTTTTTGTATGTGTGTTTTACCCTTTCAAATACATTATTGATTTTACAGAAGATAAGAATGCCTTTCTATTTTTGTGTTTCCTCTAAAGGGACGTGAGAGACAGATTTTACAAGAAACTATACACAACTTCCATTCTTCCTTTGAGAGTAGTGTTAGTAACACCAGACCTCCTGGCAATTCTCAGTGTAAGTATTACTTGAACTCAAATTCAATATTTGACTACGTTTTCTTAAGTCAGGACAGTATAGACAGACAAGCTAGTAAATAATTTGTGAGTTAAAGATTCCTACCTGTCTGTGTCTTTTGATACTTTAAGAGTAAAAAGTCACAAATTTGTAAGATTTTTATAGGGGTATATATTGAGCCATGTTGGTCTAAGGACATAGGCAGACAAGGTTCTTTGGATAAATCTGATATCTTTTATTAGACCAACTCAGATTTACTCAAAGAACCTTGTCTGCCTAGGATTTTTATATATGATTTACTTTGCTTAAAAAAGGAAGAGTATGCTTATGGGTTTCCAATACTCTCACACACGCACACAACTCCTTCAGAACATTTGAAATTGCAATATGCAGTACATATTTGGGGATAGATAACAACAGTATCAAAACCCAATCTGAGAGGCTGTTTGCTATATACTTACTTGTTAGAAATATTTGGTGAACGGAGTTACTTCACCTTTTATCATAATCAAGTGGCTGTGTGCAGGGGGTCTTTACATTGGTATTTCAAATCTTCCATCTTTCTTTGAATGCAAAGTTTTCATTTAACAGGCATCCTGTGGAAGATTTGGGTGTACCTGAGGATTGTTTGAAGCAGTTATTTTACTTGCTATAGGAGATCATCAATCCTGTGATTTTGCGAAGTGCTGTCCCAAGGTTCTTTAGTTAGCTTTGGTGACAATTTATCCAGAATCAAAAACATGCATTAACTTGCACCCTCATCATTAACAATTCAGAATATTGGACCAGCCTGTAGGGGTTTGAAGAAGATTGGCTGCTTAAATTCTAGGAAAATGGCGGAATAATATGTCTCCATCAACACCTTAAACCCCATTGGAGAACCCTAAAAGCAGGGCGAGGATAGTGGTGTGGAGAAAATATGAAAATTAAGTATGATACCTCAGAAGAAGTGTGTTTTCAGGTCAGCAGTGTGAGTAGTTCTCTTGGCCTGTCGGTGAGGACATGACTCTTGAAACAAGAAATGCTGACAAGGCTGAAGGAAGTCAGTTGACTACTAAAGACAATATTGTCTGAATTAAAGGCATGGAGGACCAGCTTGTTCCTCAAGCTTCCTACTGTCAAAGAGGAATTGAGTGATGTGGAGGATAGAAACACTGGGCTTGGAACCTGCATTGGGAGAAACAACAGAAGAAAAGAGATGGAGCTGCATTACTGCATAAGTTTGCTGGAGCTGGAAAGAGAGCTGAAACCTGGAATGCATCACATGGAAGACAGCGGGGAGGAGTGGGGGAGAAAACCAAGAGTTAAAATGATGCCTAAAAAAGGAGAAGCTGTAAAGCCATAGTTGCTATTTACAAATCTTGCTTAAAGAGTTTAATATAAGGTTGGAGCTGAAGATAAAAATGGAGTGCATAGGGCTCTATTGACCATGTCTAGGGCTGTTGTTAAACCCAAAGATTTCACTGTGAAGTTTCATAGTAATCATAAAGAATGTGATTCTGGAAACCAGCGAGAGAATATCCAAGGTTTGTGCTCCCAGGCCACATGCGTCAGTTTTCTGATCTTACTGTAAAAAGGCTGTGATGGGTGAAGGACATTAAAGCAACAAGAGAAACTATACCCTTGTCACTTGGGATAGCGATCTGTAGGCAAGAAAGATCTTATGTATTAGCAACTTTTAGAGAATGGTTGAAAAGGATAGTGAAAACCGTGAAAAGGAGGGTGAGATACGCACTCTGAAGAAAGGACCATTATTAATCTAAGTGGAGATGAAAAAGAGGAGCATTTAGTACCTCAAGATGAACCAGAAAGAATTTAAATGAACAGGAGCAGCTGAAAAGTAAATATAATTCTTTCAGTAACTGACATACAGAGATCCTGGTTTTCTCTGATTTAAAAAATCCCCAATTTCAGAATAAAGTAACGCCAAATCCACATTTTTCCATGATTAAAATGAAACACCACTATATGTAGATATATATATATAGATATATTAGTGGTGTTTCATTTTATTCATAGAAAAATGTGGATTTGGGGTTGTTTTCTTTATGTCCAAAAATTGGGGATTTTTTTTTTATCAGAGAAAGCCAGGATCCCTGCTTACACATATACATATACATATACATCACAAAATAAATAAATCTCAAAAAAATTTTTTTTGCAGTCTTTTAGTTGGTCTGATAAAAGGTATCATCTCTGAACCAAGAGTTCTAGAGTTTTGCATTTCTTTTTGTCTCAGACCAACATGGCTACCAAATAACATCTGTTGCCAAAAACACTCTCT